CTGAGTAAACATCCTCCTCTGGCAGCTTGGACACACTTTCTTTTTTTTATTAACAGACTGTCCCACTCTTTATGTTTCCATGGCTCTTGTTAACCAGATGGTGACATGAGAGGATGACCACCGCGAAGCGCCCATCACTCATCGTGTATCCTATGTGACTGCTTGAACCCTCGAAAAGCTTGTATGCATATCCTGTTTAAGAAAAACCGACCACCTCAGTCCATACACACACACACCCACACACACACACTCATACACCGCAGGGATGTATAAATACACAGAGACAAGCATTGCTTGTGCAGAGCATACTCAGGGATGGCCACCTCACAACCACCATCACTTTGCACACCTTTCATACTAGTAGGCTTGGTTTTTCCTCTGTGCAGTGAAGTCCACTCCCTGGGGGCCAGCTGGCCTTCTGATGCATGTATGGGTGCCAGCAAGGGATACAAAGCTAGCTGTGTGTGTCAAAAGGAGCATCTATAAACCCCTGAAAAGAAGGTAGTGGAGATGCTGGAGGTTCATCTGCTGAACGTAATAATTGGTAAATGTCGATTTTTAGCACAAGTATTTACACAAGTGGCTTTTTAAGAATTCTTTAAGACCATTATTCATTAAATTTAAGATGTGTATAACAGAAATGTACAAAATAACATTGTATATTTTATATAGTAGTAGAACCACAGATTGGGGGTTGGCAACAGAAGTTAGCCCATGGCAAAGACAAATGTCACTTATCCATTAATAGACGCAAAAAAAAAAAAAAAGCTAGCTAGGAAAAGGATATTAGCGGTAGCCTCAACCACATCAAGTCACACAATGGAATAAAATGACTCAAACGTTTGACTGACAGGGAAATCCAGTGAGAAAAATAAATTGCGTAGAATATACAAAAGTAAATAATTATAAATAAGAAATATTTCATATTATTTAGTGTTTAAAACATTAAAATAAATAAATGTCAATTAATTAGATAACATTTGAGGATTAAAACGATTTATGCACTTATTTACAAGGTGGAATATAAACAGGTATGCAGAGTGAGGTAGTGTTTTAATTTGGAAATAACAGATATTCAAGTCCAAGTAAACGAGAGCACAGGAAGAGCTGAGCTCTGCAGCACTCCCCCTGCCTCGGTGACTGAACAGTGTTGGAAAGCTCTTATGTTAAGCGTGCAGGGAAACAACGTTTTGCAGGACAGTGCTATAACAGATCAGCAGGAAAGGTATTTGGTTGCAGCAGTGGCCGTTATACGGTTACACAGCGCTGGACGGAGTGCAAGTAAAGTTCAGCTGTGCTTTTGAGATTAAACGTCGCAGATGAATGTTGGTAACGGAGCCACGACATTTTAAATCTAAAGATGGGGAGCATCTGCGGAGCGTGAAACTGCCTTTTTTGTTGATTATGTAGCATTCAGAGCGGAGGGTGAGGTTTTAGGAGAAATAGAGCATTTAAAAACACATTAGCGCTAGAATGCAGCGACGGCAACGATCGGGTTGAACATGTCTGGATGTAGAAATAAATGGCAGAAACTTTCAGTAAAATATTTAAATATTTTATATTTTTCCCCCCCACACACGTAGTTACATGATTACAGGAGTAGTAGCAATAGCAGAAGCAGAGTTTTTATTTTTAACTCCTGAATGGGTCATTGGAAGTGGGGTCCACCATCTGCTTGGACACCAGTGTGCAACAGTAAAGTGAAAGTGTGTGAATGGGAGGCATGAGTTGAACCCAATAAAGAGAGATCCTCAACACCATGTTCCTTTTGTGTGTGTGTTTTTTTTCTGGGATGCTCATTGCAGATCTCAGATTTACAATGGCCGCGCCTGGACCGGGTTATTCGGTCCATAAAGTCTCCACGTACAGCAGGCCCGAGTTCTTTTGAAGGAAGCCGTCACTAACGGTGGACACTCCTTCCCTCGTAAAATAAATCAAAATCAGCCACTTTGGTCATCTGCGCCTTTACACAGTGAAACAGCTTTCCAAGAATATGCCATGCCGGTACACACTGTACCTGAAGGGCTTATATAACACTCATTTTTGTGTGCTTTTGTCATAATATTGAGGTTGCAAAATCTACAGAGTATTTATATTCTTTATTTGTTCACTTGGTATATGACATGTTTGTCATACATAAACATGACATAACTGAACAGCAAAAGAATAGAGGAATGTAAGAAAGCCTTGTCTTTTTGACAGAAAATGAAAGGATTTAGATTGAGAAGAATGCCTTTCCTGTTTTTACAGTATCTTTAACTATGACTATAACTATGATTCTGCCTGAACATGAACAAGTTTTTTAGCGTTTAAACCTGGACCATAAAAATCCAACATAGCTGAACTACTAAGAGCTGAGGGGGGGAGGGGGCAATAACTTCGTCTCATAGACAGGTTGAATGTTTTCCGTAGTAAATTAAACTGTCTTTTGTATTTACTTCAATTATCTTCGTCTGATGATCTGAAACACTGACTCGCCACAAAAAGTAGAATATCAGAGCAGATAAAAAAAAAGCTTTTCACAACATTGTTTGTTCATGTTGCAGCAAAAGGTGCTAAACCACAGTCTTTCCAAAAAAATGCATTAACCCATCCATTCTCTGTTCTGCAGAAACCCTCTTGAGCTTCGTGGACGACATCCTGTCTGGGGCCAGGTCTCCATGTGTGATGCTGGGGGACATCCCAAACCTGCTGTCTTCCTCCATCAGTCTGATCATTCGCTGCCTGGAACCTGACGCAACATACATGTGAGTTGACACTCGGTGCTCAACACGTGAAGAAAGGTACACACTTGCTTTTCCAAGGTGTCATAAATTGCCACTGATGGAAGCTTAAGGTGCAGTCCACAAATCAAGTGCTGCAGTGTCTCTGAAATGCTCTCTGGTGAAGTTAATCAGGCCTTACTGTTGTCTTTATTGCCATTATTTGCTGTCAATATGAACCCATAAGGACTGCAAAAATCATTTCATTTGCTAATAAAAAAAAACGTTTGACTGCAAAATTGCTTTAGCAGACAGACGTTAGCTTTAGCCAGTCCAATGAATGAGCTTGTTTCTCTGTGTTTGCCACTAATTTTAGCTTTAAGTAAGAAAGGAAGTACAGATATTTAAATGCTTTCACTTTGCCTTATTTACCAGCTTGGTTTCTTTAACATGTGGAAAATGTAAAAGAGGGAGTTTTGAAAAGTGTTTGCTTTTTAAGAAGTATCATTTATTTTAAAAAAAAAAAAAAAAGCTAAGTTCTCATCTTAATTAACAGCATAAAATTTAGATCAGTTTTTGAATTGGTCCACATGAGAAACAAAAAGAAGATTGCTTTTTGTCCGAGGCAGGCTAACATTGAAACAAATCCAGGTGACTCCATATATCCACTATCATTGTGAAGCCTCTTTAACTGCATTATGACAACATAACTCTGAAAAATGGAAATAAAAGCAGATCGTAGCCTGAAGTATTCTCTCAGTGCCAGTGGAGTCCTCAGTTAGTCCTCAAGGCGTGCTGTCTCGCATGTTTCAGATCATTCCCTGTTTCAGCACACTTGAAGTAAATGGACTTTGGAAAACTTGATGACATGCTGAGAAGGCAATTCAGCCATTTGACTCAGCTATGTTGGCACAGGAACACATGAAACACAGGAAAGCAGTCTAACATTTAAAACGTTTTCCTCTAAAAATCACTGGTCCCACAATTGTTAGCATCCTCCTTAAGCCAATAAGACATCGCTTGGTCTTCCATAACGTTTTACGAGATTTGAGAGAGGCAATTTATTGGCTGTTCTCGCTTCCACGATCTCTCCAGATCACCATGAGTCCTGGATCTGCTTTTATACTTTCATCTCTATAGTTTATCCTACAGGGTTTCTTTATGGAGTTTAGGTCTGAGATAATAACCCGGGAAGAGAGATTGACTTTATATCCGGTAAACCATTGTTTTGTCTTGACTCGATCACTTTGTTTTTATCGTTACCCCGTTAAGTCTTCCCAGGGTTTGGTTAGCTCAGTAGATATTAATGCAACATTTCAAATAATTATTGAGGCTAAAGCTGTCCAATAAGGTTCGTTTCAGAGGAGAAACACAACCACGTCATCACATTTTCTTCCTCATGCTCAAAAATAAGCATAAGGTGCACTTCCATATTTGTTCCATCTTTACGTTTGTAATGGTAGGACAGAAAAGGTTTTTACATGACATGCAGAAGGAGATGGAAATACCATTTAAAGGTTGTGGTGCAGACTTGGTGACCTAATGTTGCCCCTCCTGACTGCAGTGACCTTTGAACCTTTTCATTCCCTTCCATCCCATTGTGGTTTTTGTGTGGGTGACAAAATAAACTGCGTTGTTATATTTATAAAAATAAAAACATTTGATTAGATAGGAGGTGAAATTTGAGTGAGATAATGAATCTGCTTTAGAAGATGAATTTGTCTAATTTTTAACACACCTTTATCAACAGTTGCAGAGGAGGCTCTATTTCAATGTAGCACCACTGAATATCCCTAAAAAGTGCTAAGTTATGACACGTCATTTCTAGGAAACTTTAACGTCTCTCTTGAAACTTGCCAGAAAAAGCATGTTGTGTCACCACTCTGGCTGAAAGCAGCTTCTTTAATGCCCTCCGTAGATCAGCCTACACTTTGACCGTAGAGACGGTTACTCACTAAGCTTGCAGAAAAATGCCATTTGTATGTGAAGAAGTTATAAGATTCAAAAGTACTGACTCATTAGCTGCAGCAGTTTGACTGCTTTGTTATATTTCTCTTTGAAATTTGATGCTTTGAAACTGGACCTCTGTCTTTTTCAGAAGCTCCTGCTTTTTCTGACATCATCATCACAGCAATGCTTCTCCATTATGTTGTTTACAACCTTTCTTCGGAGCATTGCACTGGGAAGTAGTTGGTTTTTTTTTTTTTTTTCTTTTTGAAAGTAGGTGGCCTTTTGTGAGTGCAAGTGTTTAGGCACCCCTGAATGGCTGCCAGGGAAAATCAAAGGATTCCTCAAACATGCATTACAGGTGGTGAACCCAGACCATTTCTCTGTACTCATCATTTCTGGCTGACATCTTGCATGTTACCACTACTCTCCGACTCATCCAACATTACACATCATTGTAAGTTGTAACAAGGTTTGCTGTGTCAGTCAGCACAGGGTCCGGAGCACGGAGACACCAGCAGACAGGCCAGTGTACCAGGAGATGCAGAGGCCGCAGTAGGAGGGGAACAACCCAGCAGGACCACCGCTTCTTTCTTTGTCCAAGGAGGAACAGGGGGAGCACTGCCAGAGCCCTGCAATATGACCTCCAGCAGGCCACTAATGTGCGCGTTTCTGCTCAGATAGTCAGAAACAGACTCCGCCAGGGTGGCGCGACGGCCCTGCATCAATGAGCGGGGCCTGTGCTTACAAGCCAACACTGTGCAGAACGACTCGCATTTGTCAGAGAACCCCAAGACTGGCCAACTCACCACTGGTGGCTCTTTCTCTTCACGGACGAGAGCAGGTTCACACTGAGCTCATGTGACAGACGTGACAGTCTGGAGACGCCGTGGAGAACGTTATGCTGCCTGCAGCATCCTTCAGCATGACTGGTTTGGCAGTGGGTCAGTTACTGTGTGGGGGGAGGCTTTTCTTTGGAGGGCCCTCCACGTGCTAGCCAGAGATGCCCTGACTGACATTAGGTACCAGGATGAGATCCTCAGACCTCTTTGTGAGACCCATAATGTAGCGGAGTGAGCCGTGGATTCCTTCTGCTGCAGGACAATGCTGGGTTTCATTTGGCTGAATTGTGTCAGCAGTTTCCTGCATGATAAAGGCATTGGTGCTGTAGAGTGGCCTGCTCATCCCCCAGACATGAACCCAGCAGAGTGCATCTGGGACATGATGTTTTCTTCCATCCAACAACTCCACTCTGTCCGCTGCCTCATCAGGGCCGCGTCCAGTTGTTGTAGGGAAGTCATAAAGGCCACACACGCTACCGAGACCCATTCTGACCTGAGGAATTTCCATTGACACTGAATCAGCTGGTGATGTGATTTTTCCACTTTTACTTTTGAATATGATTCTAAATCTAGACCATTATTGAGATAATAATTCAGATTTATATTGATCATTTTTATGTTGTTTTGTACTCAGCGCAATCCACTATGTAATAAACAAAGACTTACATCTGAAATGTTACATTCATTGCGATGTAGGATATGTTAGCGTAAACTTTATTTTTGGTATTTAACAAGATAATAAAAGTACAAGAAAGGGGAGCTTGAGAAAAAAATTCTGAAAACTACTATTTTTCTTTTTTTTTCTATAATGGCTCTTTATTCTTCCTACATATGTTTGTCAGCACAGTAAAAAAAAAAAAAAGCTTTAACATGCGATGCCGTGATCAAGACCGGATTCTTGGATTCTCGCTCAAGCATGTTCACACTTATCTCACACAATCCTTGCCAGAAAGGAAGCCACACACACTGCAGCGAAGGGGAGCAAGACACACTGGGGAATAGAAAAAGGGGGTAAAAGGTTTAGCCAAAAAACCTTAAATCAAACTTTGGGGTTACAAAAGAAAACAGGGGGGGGAGCGTAAAGGTGAAACACGGAGAGAAACGTTTTGAACGTGAAAAGTAATTCGAAGAAAAGGGGCCAGAGGCCAACAGGCAGAGCACACGGTTTGGATGTATATGGGCTGAATTAGCCGCCTAACATGCCCTTTTATTTTCAACATCCGCAAGTATCCTGCTCTTTTTATCCTGGCTGACAGCTCATTCATCTCTCCAGGACTAGTACTCTTATCCCCCTCAGGCTGCTGCAGACTCTATATTTCTTATACAAACGGAACCTGGAACGAAAAGCTGGAAACCATATGGTGCCTCTGGTTCGACAAAATGATGACGTGAAGAGAAATACGCCGATGCTTTTATGAAAGCTGAAAGCTTCAAGAGAATTTCCTCTGTCTTTGTTGGACGGATGTTTAATCAGTCAAATTAAAAGAAGAAATATGTTGGGGTTTTGTTTGTTTTCAGTCTTTTATTGTGCAAGTTATGTTTTAACCACAAGGTGGCGATATTCAATCAGGAAACGCTACAGTGAGGGCGCTGCGTCGGAACCATACAGGCTGCTATCCTCGAAAATGTGGCTCTTATTAGACTACCAGCTGGCAGTGTCTGTCAGTTTGTTGCTCTCGAAACTATGTTGTTGTTGTTAACAGAATAAAATGAAAAGAACAAGAGAACTCTACACTGTAAATCCCGTCACACAGAGTTTGTTCTGTAGAAAACGTCCAAACCCACGAAGCAAAGCAGCTGACTGCAAGCTGCAAGCACGAGTACTTCCGTATCTCCGTGAACCCATTTGTTTGTTTGTATGGTCTTCAGGTTCCGTCTGTGGGCTGTAGACAACACAGGACGGCGGTCCAGTCCGAGTGAGGTCACCATCAAGACTCCGTGTCCGACTGTGGATGATGTCAAAGCGCAGGGTGAGAAATGAGGCCGAATGGGTTCACAACCAGCTCGCTGAGGCCAATTTGTTTTTCATGTGAATAATCGTGCAATTAAGCTTTTTTTTTTTTTTTTTTTCTTACAGTGTGTCAAACTTAGGGTTAGGGTCTGTGTATTCAGAATATCCAGTGCCTTGTAAAAGTATTCGCACCTCTGAGGTTTTTTCACATTTTGACTCGAAACGACAACATTTTATTTAATTTTACATGATGAAGCAAAAAGTAGCCTGTGGTTGTAAAGTGGAAGGAAAGGACTTTATGGTTTTCACACCTTTTACAGTATAAATCTCAGGCAGTGTTATATATGTATTTGTCTTCAATCCCACCTGAGTCAATACTTCATAGAACAATTGTTTACTGAAGGTAATGCTGTAAAATATTAAGGTCTACTGCAGGTAAAGATGCAAAAGATATTTGGGGCATGAATTTACCAGGATTGCACACCTAGGAAAAAGTTTTTTTGTATTTTTTTTTTTAACTTAAAAAATAAATCTAGCTCAGACAATTTGGATTCATCAGTTTTCAAGACTTGCAAATGTTCTCAATTCCACAGAGGTCTGGCCTTTAACTGAGTCATTGTAACATCAGAATACGGTTCAAAGAGGCTCCAATGGACATCTTAAAGATTTTTTTTTTTTTGATGAGTCAAAAGTCTATATATGTAACAAAACTAATCAATTTCGCCACAGAATTCTTCGGTAAACAAAAATATCAAGATCTCAGCCATGGAAATGTTTTTTTTACATTTCATGCGGCTCTGAGTGAGCACTCTGTTGCTTTTTGTTGTGTCATAGACGTATCAAGAATCCCGCTCGCAGCTTGGTAAGACGATCTTGGTGCAATTATTTTTGTTGTTCAAAATGCTGACGCTTGCTTTCACAATGCAGTTTCAAATGTGGTCCCCTGGCAAATTAAACACTTTGTTCTTCTGCAGGGCGAAGGGCGAATGAAGACAAATGATGTCCATTTGTCTTTGAGTTAGCGATTTTCTCCACCCGCTTTTCCTTTTTGTTGCACAGTTTGAACAGGTCGTTTTCTTTTCACCAAGGCTTTGAATGTAGAGGAAGTAGCAATTAGCAAGCTCTTCCAAAAGTGAAAGTAGAAAGTTTCCTGTAGTAGTGATTTTTTTTTTTTTTTTAAACGGACATCTGGTGATATTCTTGTGATTGTGAGAAAATTGTGCATAAAATAATGCACATCCTCAGCATGGATTGTGAAAGAATCAGTGCTTGTGGGGGGCCACCGACTGAGAGCTCAATGTTCATTTTCCTTCTGGAAAACGAACCTCTTCAGCACAGCCGACACTAAGGCCGACTTTCTTACCTTCTTCCAGTGGTTGCTGTTCTCCTGCATCACTTGTTGCAAACTTTAAAGGGATCCGCTTAATTCTGCCTTACAGCTATGAGTTTCTTTTTGCCGCTCTTCTAAAAAGTCCAGATTTGTGGAGCAAACGCCTAATTGATCCTCCCACCTGAGGATCAATTAGGCTGCTTTCAGTGTTACAGTGTTACTATGGAGATCTTGGCTGCTTCTCTAAAGAAGGTGGTATTTGACTCAGCTGGTTAGTTTAAGTGGGAAGCCTTGTTTTGGTAGATCTTGCAGTTGTGCTATGCTCTTTATGTGTTTGGACAGATGATTGAACGACGCTCTGTGATGTTGCATTTCAGCATAAAGCCTCCTCAAACCGCCTCCCTCCCCGGTGTGTCTTTTCCGATACTGGTTGTTCTCTTATATTCAAATCTCATGGCAGCTTTGTTTATAGATTAAATTGCACACATATAAAACCCTGATCTCACAAATATGTTCTACATTCAGTTGATGTATCACATAAATGTCCAGTAAGACATATTTATGTTTAAAGCTGCAATGGGACTCAATTTTGTCCAACTTTAAGGCGCATTAGCACTTCTGCAGGGCACTTTAACCTTTATTGTAAAAAGCATGAAAATAGAGCGACCAAATGGAATCACTAAATAGTTCTCAAAAGTTCTGTTATTAGATGAAATAATTCCTGCCTGTTTGGAGCTATTTCTCAGTAGATGTCATGTGAGTTCATAGAGTGAGTCATAAAGTCACAGGCAGATAGTTTTCCCCTCTCTGGATCAGGACTGTTTATGGTCACCGTATCCTGCAATTCCGTGAGGATATTGACTATAAAAAAAATATATATATATATATATATATATATATATATATATATATATATATCATCCCATCTCAGAAATTAAAGAGCTGGAATCCTTGCCGACCCTCTGCAGCAATAACGGCTTCATAGCAAAGATGTTTTTGTGGATCCGGCTGCTGATTTTAATCAGCTATTACAAAAATGCGCTAGTCATTGAAGTGTGATCCTACTGGGCTTACGCTGTTAATTTTAATGCCTGGAGAAGTATAAATGGTGTGAAACGTAATACTTCCAGTGTACTGGGGTGACTTTATTACCATCCAGAAGAGGGGATAAGTTGCTAGCCTGACAGGCCATGAAAAGCTCAAAAATCTGTCCGAGTTACAAAAAGCCTTTCCAACTTCAACTTGAACAATGATTTATGCTTTTTCAAATGGTGTTCTGAGTGGAAGTTGCACGTTAAAATAGCATGCCGCATATCTGAAGATCTAAAAGTTGGCTTGGAGTATGAAAAGGAAAGAGCTTCACAGCAACGCTAATGAAATACAGAAACAAAATCCAGACAGGCTTTTGAAAACTAAACATAATTGTGGGTGTTCGCAATGATCTCTGCTACTCCAGGGAGCACAAACTGGAATAAACACTATTTCAGAACTTAAACTTTATTTTTTTTTCTTTTGCCCTGGAGTTACTAACCATGCTTAACATTAACTGTTTAACAAAACATTTCTAAATCTTTAAAGTTTACATCAAAGTCATGTAATCAGAAACCAAGTTTCCTTCCACACGTGGCGTTTCCAGTCAAAGTCTGAAAAATGGGGGATGAATATTATTCATCTTAGTCCATTTTCAGTGTTTAAGTGTCTAAAAGTGCCTTCATTACTGTTTTAAGGAAAATAAACTAATTAGAAGCATAGTAGGTTCTGTTACGAAAAGACAGATTTCTGAGAATAGGCTACAAGGCCAATGGCAAAGGTCTTGCAGTTCAGAAAATATGTTGACATAAAAGATTAGGATGTGAAAGTAGGACAAGTATGTGAATATTTCAGTATTTCGAAGGGCCTTTACTCAGCACACCAAAACAGGGTAAATATTTCACCTGTCTTTGGGTTTTCTTGAAGAGTCTGATTGATTGCTGTCTAAAATATTGCATGACTTGAAATGCAACATATTGAGTGACCCAGAGCTACAAAACTACTCAAAAGTCCCAAAGACTGCCATTCCTTTCAGGCTAAATGGAAACAAGTCTAAAGTTGTTTTATTATCAACCCCTATGCAGGGTTTCCCCCAGAAATCTTGCTAACCCCTTGGTTGGGGCGCTAGGGCAGTCATCCAGTGGTCCACCATGTTTTTGAGATAAAAATTGTTTAAAGTTGACAGGAAATTTGAAAATATCACTAGTTTATTATGTGTTATTGGAAGACATTAGTATTATTTAAACACTAACTAAATATTCTTAAACATTTAAAAAAAACTCAAATAAATAAGCAACGCTAAGCCTGGTGGGGGCACAAGTAAATCCTGGCGGCCTGCCAGGCTTATAGTACCCTGGGGGAAACTTTGCTGATGTCATTACTGCCATCATTGATTTAATAAAAGAAAACGTACAAACTCCATAACTCTTTATAGACATTTGCCTATACTGAGACTCACCACCGATACATCATTAAAGATAATGTGTTTTATACAGTTGAAACCAAACGGCTTCTCTCCTCATTTTGACGCTTAGGGGGAAATAAATCATTTAATTTAATTCATTTCAATCTGATACTAACAGTTTAAGGTCTTGATTAGATATCCCCACATGTTGATGACAAAGTACGTAAGAGTTTGTTTTGACTTCGGATTGTATGTGTTCCTTTAGAAATTGCTGACAAGATCTACAATCTGTTCAATGGCTACACAAGCGGGAAAGAGCAGCAGACCGCCTACAACACTCTCATGGACCTGGGCGCTCCCACACTGCACCGCGTGCTTTACCACTACAACCAGCGCTACGAGAGCTTCGGAGAATTCACCTGGAGGTGTGAGGATGAGCTGGGACCGAGGTACTGCTCTCTTCTGACCTTTTTTCCTGAGTCACGATTCTCTTTATTTCCCTGCTGCACAAAAATCTAAGAGGTTTTAAAGTTTCATTCGTTTCATTTGTTTTCATGCTGGACAGCTATTGTTTGTGTATAGGAAAAGTAGCTGAAAACCAAAGCCCATTGTTCGTTCCATCCATCCATCCATCCATCCATCCATCCCTCCCCCTGACATCTTAGCTTCTAGGATTATCACGAGATAATCCTAGTGTCTAAAAGTGCCTTCATTACTGTTTTAAGGAAAATAAACTAATTAGAAGCATAGTAGATTCTGTTACGAAAACAGAATCTTATTGTGTTATTTCCACCACAATAAGGTGGCAGCCCATCGGGGGGACCCCATGTTATGTTTCTTAAAAGCCCAACTCCTGTGGCACAAAACAGATCAGACATGCTGCATTCCTACCAGTAAATTGATCATCAACTTCAACTTGATCGCTGATATGCGAGTAGAACAGAAACTATACAAAGTGTGGTGTGGATCTGTCTTGAGCCAGACTTTTGAAGAATACCTCAAGACTGAGCCATTGTACTAACGGGTAGACTATAGTTGAAAAATCTGTCTTGTTTTGTTTTTTTCATCCATGAGTTGCCCTCCCACCAACAGAGCCGAGTCTGTCACACTGAGTGGTGCAGTTGACACTAACAATGCCTTGAACAGTAACGGCATAACTCACCAAGGAGATTGGCCAAGAAATGTGGCAACTTGACAAGCGTCTGTGTTGGATCAGTTTGGTGAAAGTGCTGCTCTGAAGTGAGGTTTCAGTGCCGCTAATCCTTAAACAATGTAATGAGCCATTGAATCCTAGAACCGTGTAAACCTTAAACACTGAATCACCTGATTCCAGAAGTTAAACAACGGGTTGATTTTGATGAACTTTCTTCAGATTTGACATCCGCCGTTGGCAGATCTGGTCTAAGTCTAACTACTCTACCCCCCACAAGTATTTATTAGATGTTTTTATCCTGACAGTACTTAACTGAGCTAGCTCACAATTCAGGTAGAACATCTTCTGGACATCTGGGGAAGGTCAGCACAACACCAGGCTCTTGGTCTCACAGTAAAGTTAATTTAAGTGTATCGTTCTGCTGCTGAAGGTCACTTTCCAATGTAATCTGGATGGCATGTGCTGCTTATAGATGAAGTAGGTTCTCCTAAATAATGAAGTGTCAAAATGTGGTCACATTAGAATCACCGACTTCAAAATGTCATATTGAGATTTTATGAGATATGACAAATCAGAATAGCAGAAAAAAACTACTTGTGGTGTTTAAAAGAGTTTTCTTTTCCACAAAAATAAGTCTTGCATGGATTTGTACTCAAACCTCGATTCCCCGATGCCTATAAATAAAATCAAATGCTTCCCGAACTCACCCAAGTCATAAATGGAGTGAGAACTTTCCTGGACAAATGGCATCATACAAACCAAGCAACACACAAGACGAGCCAGGGATAAATGTTGTGTAGAGGCTAATGTAGGGCTTAATGTTCTAAAACGATACCCCAAATGTTTAATATCTCACACTCACCCCGTTGTTAAGCAATGCGAGTGCAACCGCAAATTAATCAAGATGTCCTCTTCGTCCTGGCGAGAATAAATTCTTTGTTTGCGGTTTGACACAAGCCATGTGCAGAAGAAGAAGGTGCTTTGACAGATGAGACCAAAAACGAACTTTCCGACTTGCACGTGATACTAATATCTGAACACACCATCCCCAAGGAAGCTGAGCTGATGAGACAATGATTGGAGGGAAAACCTGTTAACACCAGAAAAAGATTTGACTTTTGACCGTAAGGGGCTGGATACCAATGCATGCCACATTTTTGAGATTTCTCATTTGCAAAAACAAAAAGAAAATGATCTTTTTTCTTTGGCCTCACAACTGTGAGCTACTCTCTGTTGGTAGACCAACAGAGAGTAGCTCAATAAAATGCCAAGAAAAGACTGATCCTAACAGCAGGAATGAGTTAAAGGGTTACTGGAACCCGGTTGTACACAACTTTGTTTTTGTTCATTACGTCTGAACACTCATCAGGGATTTGAAGAAGTGTCATAATGCTAAATATCAGCTCGCACGAGATCCAGTGTGTGTATCAAAAGGAAATCTGATTTTTTTTTTTTTTCAAAATCAAGAACAAGATCCAAACAAAAAAAAAACAGAGGTAATCCTATCTGAACCGAAGCATTTCCCTTTCATTTTTCAGAGCAAACTGTAATTCGTTCCAGCGTTATTACAAACATACCCCACCGACCGGTCAGATCTCCATTACATCAGCTCGTTCAAAGCCGTGCTTGCGTCCGACTCTTTGTTTTGATCCTCGACGCTGTGCAGATGTCTCTGCGTCTTCATGACCGCTGTCTTGTGCAAATTGAAGCTCTGTCAAACGGGCTGGAAAAACAGATTCTGTGACATCACCGGTGTTTTTTTTTTGTTTTTTTGTTGTTTTTTATTCTGTACCGAAGCGGCATCCAGGCAGGACGAGCCTCACAAAGCACAAACAAACACTGCGAACGTGAAAAGCGCAGCGTTGTGCTTCCTAAACAGAGTCATGTGTTGGACATAAAAATCCACTAATAAACAGACTTTGGCAGGTGAATCTGATTAGCGAAAGCTCCCCTAATTCTTTGTTTCTCTCTGCTTCTGTGGGTTCCCTCACTCCAAAATGAAAGCTTGTTTTTTTAATAGGAACCATGTTGGAAAAGGTTAATGTGGCAGAGGGAGTTTCCTCTGAAGTGTTCCATTAAAATGCACTTAGATTAACAACCCCACAATTTGGTTAAAGGGAGCTGTGATTAATGTTAATACAAGCACCCCGGAGGAGTGCATTCAAGGTAAGGCCTGACAACAAACTAAGGAAGCATAAACATGTTTCAGCTCAGCCAAGTCATCAAATGTGCATTAGACTTTCCCTATTCGCTGGGAGAAATGACTTAATGCTACACATGGTTATTTTTTAACAAGCAGGCAGGCCAGATGAGAGGTTAATAGCCTCACAGTTTCACTGCGTACAAGCACCCCATGGTGTCAGTCTCTTAATGACTCTGACATTATTTCACTGCTGTGAAAAACAAATGCAGCAGATAAATGTTTGGACTCGAGTCAGGACCAGAATACTGCCAAAAGCATTTTTAGCAAATTTATTAGTCATGCAATGTTTCTGGCTTCTAAAGCATCCGCAACTGATGCGCGCCCTGTTCTGAAAAAAAAAAAAAAAAGAAAGAAATCCTGAGATCAGCTTGAACTCTGGAAGTGTAGCTATGCGAATTCAATTCAGACGTTCAAATAAAAAAAAATAAAAACACTTTATTAATCCCATATTAAACTCGTGTTGTCCAAGCCTCTTCAAAGAGTTATTGCAGATGGCTGTGGAAGGATCTCCTGTAGTGGTCTGTATTACAGCGGTTCCGCAAAAAGCCTCTGATCTGACACTCTGACACTCAGGGTTGTCCATCATTTTCTTGATTTTTATGAAGGTTCCTTCTTTGCACACTAATCTCCTGTGGCTCCACAGCAGAATCAGCCTTCTTTAATAGGATGTTTAGCCGTTTTGTGCCCTTGGCTCTGATGCTGCTACCCGAACAGATGATGGCGGAAGAGGTTAAACTCGCCACGACAAGGTTATAAAAGATCTGCAACATCTTGCTGCAAACATCAAAGGACCTAGATTCCTAAATTAGCAACATTTAGCCTCGTACAATACGAAACACACACCAATTTCCTAACTGTATATATATATATATATCATTATATACTCTACTACCCCACCACATCCTGCAGATCTGACCTATCTGGAAACAGAAGTTTATCTGATTTCCAAAAGTTTTTTTTTTTTTTTTTTTTTAAGATTTAAAAATCTGTTTATTTCCTTTAGTTTGGTTAGAAAAAAAATGTGCGTGGAAAATAAAATATACAGTGGAAATGAAAGGTGCAGATTTGTTAGAAATATCACCGAGGCAGTTAGCATCTTATTTTATCTTATCTTACGCTTGTTTACAGCTAAGAGAGGCAAACTGACGTAAATCCTCAGAAATTCTTTCGACACCCCATCATCATTTTCCCCAGCGAAGCGCCTTAGTGTTAGCGTGGCAACCATTTTTACCTAGAAAGGATGAGAAGGCTAAGAGAAAATAGCTTCTTTTTTTTTTTCCTCAGCAGACGTAAGATGTTTCCTCTGTAGACGCATTGCTTATTCATTTTTAGATTTTTAAGTCATGTCTGTATACGGGGGAAAGAGGAGAAGATTACTAATAAACTGAAACCTCAAACATCAAGTATGGTTGCCAAGAAGACGGAGAAAAAAAAAACCAACTCACGGTTTGACTGCAGACACATAAGGGAGGAGATTGATGACACGCTGGGGTTCCAGTGCTCTGTTATCAGTCATCATAAAAAATAAAAAAATTTAAAAAAAAAAAAAAAAGAAACGCCTTTCAGCATCATAGCTTCGCAAATGCAAACCTCACCACGTATGATAAATTTCAAACAAGTCAGGTGGATTCAGTGAAATAAACAATGTAGCAGCAGGTATTAAAAAATTATATAAAAAAACTGAAGATTTTACGAAGGCGTAGAGAAAAAGGACGTTACACGGGTACAAAAGGAGCCGCCAGACAGCCGAATTACACAATCTGAGGAGCTTTAATGATCCTTGGATCTTACAATAAGTCCAGAAACTTGCTTAAATATAACTTGAACTACTGCTTGAAAAAATCTGTTTCAACTCCAGCTGACCTCAGGATCTAATTTGACTGCTGTCCATATAAAGGGAGATGAGGCCTGCACACAACTTTGCACTTACAGTAGTTTGTATTTCTTGAAGCCACCCAGCAGTCACAGTACGCCGCACATAACACCCGCTGACCAAAGCAGAGTTGCATACTGGGAGGGAAGAAGGATAAATAGTAAAACTGCCTTCTGTTTTCTTGTCCGGAGTCAGTGGAATAGTTTGCCAAATGAGATTA